AAAGTGGCTGAAGAAAAAAAAAAGAATTGAATAGGTCCTTAAGGCCAACTTAACTAAATTGTGTCCTGCATTAATATAATGAGCTCAAGTCATCATAATGCAATGAGCCAGAAATGGACAACTGGATTCCAGATAAAAAGACACAATCAGCTCTTAGAGACAAGGTGGAAGGGGCAAGCAAAGTAAGGAAGCTTAATGAAAAATAATTCTTGCCTATTTCTCTATAGAACTGATTCCTGCATCTTGTATAATACCTGGAAACTACTTTATAAATATATTAATATTGAATAAAGAGGAAAATCAAGAGGATGAAAAGGGTCAAAAGCAGAAAAATAATGACATTTGCATATTTTTAATTTTTCCAATGAAATTTTCTTCATGCCAATAACTAGCCATGAAAAGTTGTCTACCTTGGTCAACATATTAGTTTAAGGAGATCAACACTGCTTTAATGCTACAAAAAAGGTGGTATGAAATAACTTGAGACACAATCAGCATTTTTTCTCTTCTACTCTTCTGACTAATCAATGTCAAAGCCACTACTCTGACATGGCTTCACAGTTCCTGTTCAGTTTTCAGCACAGGGGCTTTGCTGATTCATGAAGCAAACAAAAGCCAGTTCACTCTGTAAATTGTTGAGTTTTGTCTTTTAATAAAGTATACTTCCATCCTGAGGTCCTGTGATGAACTAAGCTGTCCTTGTCCAATACCTCATGATTTTCTGTGTAATTAGTTCACTGTAGACTCTCATTTGTCCTTTATCTTCCACACCTTTTGAAGAGCACTGGACAGGCATTCTCTCTGTGTGAGCTCATAACATGTTTAATATCATAACTGGTTGTGATGACAGAGGGAGGGAGATAATCATTGATTCATACACAATTTACACAAAATTAAAATACTCTATGTGCAGGAAACACAAGTCCCTCAGGGTTCCATCTATCACCTAATATTTTATCCAGGAACAGCTAGCTGAGACTTTTTGTTTTGCTTTGTTAATTAGTCAGGTCAGGTACTTGAGTTCCTGGTGTTTTGTGTCTGTCTTCAAGTGAAAAACAGTAATCATGAACAGATACATTCAAACTATATAAAGGTGCCAACAAACAGTGCTGTGGACTAAATTCCTAGTCAACACATAAAACCTTGATGTGCATATTTATGTTTTGGCTTTAAGGGAATTTGTCTTTTATTTCAGTAAAAGAAAAAAATACAGCTAGTATTAAAATTCTCTTATAACTATGTGTAGTAATACTTTTAAACTTCAGGTTACAATTAAAAAACTTATCTTTCTTTTGGGTTTTTTGAGACAGGGTTTCTCTGTAGCTTTGGAACCTGTCCTGGCACTCACTCTGTAGACCAGGCTGGTTTCAAACTCACGCAGATCCACCTGTCTCTGCCTCCCGAGTGCTGGGATTAAAGGTGTGTGCCACCACTGTCCCATTTAAGGAATGCATCTTAACAAACAATCCTAGACTATTTTCTCATAATCCTCTAAGGATTCCAGACACTTCCTTGAAAACTCTTCTTGAAGAAGGACTTCTGAATTCTAGAATGGATGCCTGGAAATTGATGCCTGGCACATGAACTTAGTTCAGAGCAAGCAGAGCTTGGAGGAGGGGAGACTGTGCTTCTCCATCCTTTCCGAGTCATTCCATGCAGCGTCTTGCTGCTTTCCTATACCACAGACTGTCTTCACAGGAAAACAGTTTCCTCTGAAGTTTCTCCTAACTTCTCTTCCTGAACTGAAAATACCTGAAGATTTAAACTATGATATTTATATTTTTATTTATGATGGTGAAAACATTGTATTGCTAGATTAGAAATGCCAACTTTGCTCAATGGCTGACATGCAATGGCCAAATCTAAAAATTTATAATATGTGACATGCTCACTTATTGACATAAAGGTTCAGACAACAGGATCTTAATATGAATGTTACTTCTTAATATCTCTAAAATAATTATTCTATGAATAAAATCAAGCTATATTTAGAATTATGTAAAATGTTTAGAGACGTTCCCTTTCAACTCCAATCTAGCCCCATTCTGCTCTATTATTACTAACGTGATTCTTTAATGAAATCTCTTTCCATTGGAAAATTAAGCCAACTGTAAATGTTCATGCCATAGTTATTTTCTATAAATTTGAGACATGGAAATCACTGGTTACTAACTTTGAATATGTGACCAATGGATATGGAGCAGAATCCTTTCTTTGGAAACAACATTGACATAACCAATATTCCTAAGTTCTGTTTTATGGAGAGTCCAAAAACTTCAATTTGATTTTCAGAGTTACCCCAAGATATTTTATGCTATTTGTGGCTATCGTGAAAGGTGATGCTTCTCTGATTTCCCTCTCTGCTTCCTTATCCTTTGTGTATAGGAGGGCAACTGATTTTTTGGAATTGATCTTGTATCCTGCCACGCTACTAAAGGTGTTTATCAGCTGTAGTATTTCTTTGTTGGAGTTTTTGGGGTCACTTATGTACTCTATCATTTCATCTGCAAATAATGAAAGTTTAACTTCTTCCTTTCCAATTTGAATCCCTTTGATCCCCTTATGTTGTCTTATTGCTATTGCTAGAACTTCAAGCACTATATTGAAAAGGTATGGAAAGAGTAAACAGCCTTGTCGTGTTCCTGATTTTAGTGGGGTGGCTTTGGGTTTCTCTCCATTTAATTTGATTTTCAATTGAAATAAAGATTATACTAAGTCAAAGGTGAGGGCAAAAGATAACCCAACAAACTAATTCTTCTCATATTTCAGGAAAATATACCAAGAAATCTCAGTTACTATGATGACAAATATCTCTGGATAAGTACAGAAAATATTCCTTTCCTTTTTCAGAGATAAGTATCCATGATGGGTGCTATTCTTCTAGAATTTGTAAGATCCTCAAGCTATACTAACATGAATTTCCCCTAAAGATGTCATGAAGTCATCAGCTAAAGTATAGCTAAGCAGCTGGAGCAGACACAAAGTAAACTGTCTGAGCCTTTCGCCCATAACCATCAGGATAACAATGGAAAGTCGTTAACCAATATCCCATTACAGAAGCCAAGAAATGAGAAAATGAGAGAGTCAAATTGGCAGCAATAAACTCCTGTTTCCACTTTCAACTTTCTTTCAACACCACCTTGTTTATTTCTAGATAAAAGTTTAATTTCAGCTGTTATCACTGAAAGTCCAGGCAGCCTAATTGCAAGAAACAAATGTTCTCTCAGCCTATCTGCAAGAGTCATCACCATACATGACACATTTATTCCTTGTAACAAAGATGCTGATAACATATGTACATCTATTACCTTATTCCAGAAATTACATGAAGGACTTGTATGCAAGGCCAGTTTATCCAACACCACTCACTACACAAAGATGAAAAATAATGAACAACAAAGTACATTTGTGATATCATAAAATGTATATTATATTATCCCAGCAAGATGCAATATTCAGAGCTTTTAGCCAGAGATTCCCCCTTGTCTATAGCTGAAAGTGAGTGACAAAAAGCTAACAGCATCCCAAAATTAAGATATTTCAAATATCAACTGAGAGAACAATCAATCACTGAAGCTGATCACTTCTCAAACTGCACAAAGTAATTATTTCAGAAACAAAATTCAATTCCTCAGAGAATTCATCAGGTCAATAGTATTCCAATTTGCTATTAAATTAAATCTTATTAATTCAGTTAGCCTAAGAGGAGGTCTTAGGGAACCATTAGACTTGTTTAAAGGTAATCTTTTGGGGCCTGGAAAGATGACTTCACAGTTAAGAGCACTTGTTGGCCTTGTAGAGCAGCAGTGTTCACTCTCGAAGACCCAAATAGTTGTTCACAACAACCCGTAATTCCAGCTCCAGGGTTTCCTTTGACCTCTGTGGGCACCAGCCACACATATAATACACGTGTATATATGTAGGTAAAACACTCACACACAAAATAAAATATATAAATATCAAAAAATAAAACTATGGCATTTTGATTATTTCAGCAACATAATTCATCCACATGTTCTGTAGAATTTTCAGGAAGGAGTACAAAAGCGCTATCGAAGAGATAATTTCATGTGTCAATCTCCTGATGAAGACTAAAAACTAGGAGATGTTACTCCTGCACAAAAACTGTTCATCGGGAGAGAAAAAGCAACGGAAGTGACTGGGAATGGAGAATACAGTGATGAAGAGCAAAGGGCTTCCATTCCGCCAGCAAATCTACGTAAGGAGCCCAGCAGTTCTGTTCTTTGCTTGCAGGAAAGTAAAGCTCAGTGCAACCTTAAGCTCAGTGCATTTCTAACCAAAGAATCCAATGATGGACTCTGCTTGAGAATTTCCAGCTCTCTCTAAAGCAGTTTTCTGAATGAGTAAAGCAATTTTAAAGGCATCATTCTTGTTTCAAACATGGGAGGAGGCTTGTTCCTCGCAGCAGGGTTTCCCTACTGCTATGCTGGGAAGAAAACTACACTAGAGGAAGTTAGCATGCTGGATTTGGGACACAAATCATACTTTGACTCAGTGTGTCTCAGTTTCTTCATCTACAAACAAGGATGCTAAGTGAAATTATACCTAGACTTAAATGCTTCTCCAAATACATCTTTGAGAAAAGAAACTAATTCTACAAAAGGAAACCACAGACTGAAAATGTGATCAAGTGTGTACGTAATCATATCAGCTATAAAACTCAGAGCAAAGGTTTTTAATTCTTTCTTTTTCTAATGGAAAATGTCCATTAGTGAATCCATAAATCAGCATAATGGATCCCCACAATCATTTACCAGAACAACTTGAACAAAGTATAAAATATGAAAGTGCATTATGAGAAGAAAGGACAAATACTGTCTCATGACTCAGAAATTTATATAGATATATTCATGTGTATATACACTGGGTGATAGAACAAATTACACTTTTATTCTCTAGCATTATCAATAGTGCTTAAAAGTACCACTTATTTACAGTGTATTTATTTAAACTAAATGAGAAAAGCAGCTTTTACTTACCGATCGTGGGGTCATGATAATCTGGAAACTGGTGGCTTATAAACTGCATTGTCACTGCTGAAGAAGAGAAAACAGTCAGCCCTTCCCTATAAATTATTCATCAACATAGCCCTGCATTTTCATCTCTTCTGCTAAGTAGCTCTCCTGTATGAGGGACTACATTAATTATATGACATTAGCTAACACATGATAATGATGGTAATAACACATAGTTACAAAAACAACAAGATCTATACTATATATTTGTACTAAATATGTTCAAAGCTTAAGTGTGTTTAATACCTAGTGTTAGAAGAATATGACCTAGTGATAGAGCCTCTCAGTTAGCTCTGATTAGTTGATGGTTGTTAAGAAGCCTCTGGAATTTTTTTGGTCCTGAGTCTTATGATACTGGCTGAATCTATGTCACTCCATGAGTGGTCAGAATCTCGCACCAAATTGAACAATGAATGAAAGATTCGGTGCATCTAAACTGAAATGAAATACCTTCGCTCTGTCTCTAGAAATTGAGGAATACACACCTGTTTGCTGAAGTGAGAAACTGCCTCAACATACATCCTTTGACAAATCCATTTGGCTGATTTAGGCTACAATGTTGAAAATATCCTTACATCCTCCCCTCTTACACCCTCCATACAATGATCTAAATATCCAGTTTACCTGAAACACCTTTGCAGTATGTCTAGATGCCTTCTTTCTCAGCATCAGTTCAGAGTACTATCCTCTTTAAACTGCTTTCTTTCTGTAAATTCGGACTTACAAGACAAGTCACAATGGTACCCTAACAGTCATTCAGCAGCCTGTTTGTCACTGACCTCTAGGGTAAAGACCACAGCCTTGAAAACAGCATTAGCCCGTAGGGGTTTTAATGGCTATCCTATCTCTCAGGCCAAGTGTTTATCTTGTATTCAAAACTTGTGAGCTAATCTCCTTGAGCAAGCCTTTGCTACTTATTCTAGAATAGCATCAGCACTGCACCAGATCTCACTTTACAACTAACACTGAACCAGACTTATCTTAACCCTCTTCTCACTGAAACCTCAACTTTAGAACTTTGGTGCTGTATTTTTTTTTTTTTTTTTAACAACCGAGTTCCTGCAAGAATTTTGTTGATTCTGTTTAGAGAGACTCTTCCACCATTTCACACTGATGATCATCTCACTAGGAAATGTTCTTTCAGGACCATCTAACATATTTTTTATTCCCAGCTGGTGGCACTGGCTTCGGAGGGTGTGAAAATGTTATGAGGTGGGACCTAGATGGAGGAAACGAATCCCAGGTGGTGTGGCTTTGAGAGTGGAGCTTGTCTCCAGTCCTTTCCTAGCTCTATGCCTCCTGACTGTCAGGTGAAGAACCAGCTCCTCCAGCAAGTCCCTCTCTGCAGTGCATCACGCCCCTCTGTGCCTGTAGTTCATGATCCTAGAGAAGCTAAGTAATAAGGTGAACCCAAAGAAAAACATATATAGATCCTCCTGGAAATTGGAAGCAGACAATATTGCCGGACAAAAGTTGGGAGCACTGGGGTAAGGTGGGGTGGAGGGAAGGGGAGAGGGGGAGAGAGAAGGGAGAAAGGAGGGATTGGGAAAAGCTTGGGGGAGTGGGATGGTTGAGATGGAGGAAGGGTGGATATGGGGAGCAGGAAAGAAGATATCTTAGTTAAGGGAGCCATTTTAGGGTTGGCAAGAGACTTGGCTCTAGAGGGGATCCCAGGTGTCCAAGGGGATGTCCCCAGCTAGGTCCTTGGGCAGTAGATGAGAGGGTGCCTGAACTGGCCTTGTCCCACAGCCACACTAATGAATATCTTGAATATTACCATAGAACCTTTGTCCGGCAATGGATGGAGATAGAGACAGAGACCCACATTGGAGCACTGGACTGAGCTCCCAAGGTCCAGGTGAAGAGCAGAAGGAGGAAGAAGATGAGCAAGGAAGTCAGGGCCATGAGGGGATTGTTCACACACTGAGACAGTGTGATTGATCTAACAGGAGCTCACCAAAGCCAGCTGGACTGGGACTGAACAAGCATGTGATCAAACCAGACTCTGTGAATGTGGCTGACAATGGTGGCTGACTGAGAAGCCACTGATAATGGCACTGGGACTTGTTTCTACTGCATGTACTGGCTTTTGGGGACCCTAGTCTGCTTGGATGCACACCTTCCTAGGCCTGGATGGAGTGGGGAGGGCCTTGGACTTCCCACAGGGCCCTCTCTTAAGACTAGAGGGGGAGGGAGGAGGGGGAGTGGGGAAGTGGGAGAGGAATGGGAGGATCAAAAACATTCCTCTTAGCACTGCTTTCAGAGTGTCCCATAGGTTTGGGTATGTTGTGTCTATTTTCATTGAATTCAAGAAAGACTTTAATTTCTTTCTGATTGAGATTTTGTTAAATGACATATGTAAAGAAGCTAACAAAATTCTTAAAGTTAGATCTTTAAACTTAATGCCAAAAAAGAGCATATAATTTTTCTCATCAAAATTATAGGCCAAGAAAACCCACCTAACCCCCATGACCTCAGAAGAACTCTGAAGCACAGGCTGCAATTGTACAAAGCAGACCAAGAAGTGAGTGATCACCCAAACAGTTGGGAAGCTCACTCTCTAAGCCCTAGATACTGGGGCAAAATCCCAGCCCCTCCTGCACCTGCCTCAAATTTACTGGCCAGCTGGTAGCAAGCTTCCTGTAGGTATGCTGCTCCAATACCCACACCCCCATCGATTGGACCCTGAAAGTTATAAATCCCGAAATTCACCCATTAACTGCAATGTCAGAGGAACTCTGAAGCACAGACTGGAACTGTACAGAGTGAACCAAGAGAACAAACCAAGAGAGGAGACCAAAAGAACCCTCAGCAGCTCCCTGAAACACAGACAGCAACTGCACAGAGCAGACCAAGAGCAACTCCCTAAGACACAGACAGCAGCTGCAAGGATCAAGAGGCAAAGACACTGCTGGCACCAAATGGAGGGAGACATGGGTAGGCACAAATGCAAGAATTTATTCAACAACCCAAAAAGCAACATGGTAACACCAGAACCCAGTGGTCATACAACAGGAAGACTTGATCATTCTAACTCAGAAGAAGCAGAAAACAATTTTAAATATAACTTTATGAAAATGATAGCCACTCTTAAAGAAGAAATGAAAAATTCCCTTAAAGAAACAGAGGTAAAAACAAACAAAAATCAGAAGAAATCAAAAAATCAAGAAACCCAAAGAAACTAAAAGACAACAATCAAACTAGTGAAGCAAATGGTTCAAGACTTGAAAAATGAAATGGATTCATTAAAGAAAAAACAAACCAAGAGAATTCTGGAAATGCACAACCTGGGTAAATGAATGGGAACTACAGATGCAAGCAAAACCAACAGAATAGAAGAGATGAAAGAGAGAATCTCAAGTATTGAAGGTACTATAGGGGAAATAAATTCACAAATCAAAGAAAATGTTAAATCCAGCAAATTGTTAACACTGGACACCATTGAAAAGACCAAATCTAAGAATAATAGGGATAGAAGAAGAATTCCAGCTCAAAGGCACAGAAAATATATTCAACTAAATCATACAAAAAAAACTTTCCCAACCTAAAAAAAAAATGTATGTCTATGAAGGTCCAAGAAGCTTACAGAACACCAAATACATTGAGCCAAAACAGAGTCCCCTTGGCATATAATAATCATAACTGAAAGCATACAAAATAAAGAAAGGATATTAAGAGCTGCAAAGGAAAAAGGCCAAGTAACATATAAAGGCAAACCTATCAGAATTACACTCGACTTCTCAATGGAAACCCTGAAATCCAGAAGGTCCTGGAGAGATGTATTGAAGACACTAGAGACCACAGATGCATGTCCAGACTACTATACCCAGCAAAGCATTCAATCACCATCGATGGAGAAAACAAGATATCCCGTGACAAAACCAGACTTAATCAATACCTATGCACAAATCCAACTATACAGAAAGTACTAAAAGGAAACCTCCAACCCAAGGAAACTAACTGCACCCACAAAAACACATACAAAAGATAACCTCACACCAGAAAACCTCAAAGAAGGGAAACACACAAACTTTACCACCAAAAAATAACAGGATTTAACAACCACTGATCATTAATATTGCTTAATATCAATAGACTAAGTTCACCTATAAAAAGACACAGGCTAAGAGAATGGATACAACAGCAGAATCCATCCTTCTGCTGTATACAAGAAATACAACTCAATTTCAAAGACAGGCATTACTCAGAGTAAAGATTTGGGAAAAGATTTTCCAATCAAATAGACCCAAGAGACAAAGAGGTGTAGCTATCATAATATCTAACAAAATAGACTTCAAACTAAAATCAATCAGATGAGATGGTGAGCAACACCTCATACTCATCACAGGAAAAATTAATCATGATGAAGTCTCAATCCTGAATATTTAATCCATTTGGACTTGAGTTTTGTGCATGGTAATAGATATGGATCTATTTTCATTCTTCTACAGGTTGACATCCAGTTATGCCAGCACCATTTGTTGAAGATGCTTTCTTCCTTCCATAATCAGGTGTTCATAGGTTTGTGGGTTAAAATCCGGGTCTTCTATTCTATTCCATTGGTCGACTTCTCTGTTTTTATGCCAAGACCAAGCTGTTTTCAATACTGTCGCTCTGTAATAGAGTTTGAAATCAGTGGGGTGTTGAAGTCTCTTATTAGTGTTTGGGGTTTGATATATAATTTAAGCTTTAGTAATGTTTCTTTTACATATGTGGGTGCTCTTGTATTTGGGGCACAGATGTTCTGGCTTTTTGGAACCCATTCTCGTTGACCAGATACCATGCTCAGCCTAGATATACTGGGGAGGGCCTTGGTCCTGCCTTAAAGCAATGTGTTAGACTTTGTTGACTCTCAATGGGAAGCTTTACCTTCTCTGAGGAGTTGATGGGGGTGGGGTACAGGGAAGGTGGAGGGAATGGAAGAAGAGGAAGGAGTGGGAACTGGGATTGATATGTAAAATGAGAAGATAAATTTTAAAAAACTATATCAAATATGATCTAAATTTAACATTAATTTCCTT